TAAGATCAACAATTATGGAATGGGAATCCTTGTTTTCCGTATAAGTACAACTTCAATGGTTGATGCCCAATGGTTTTCAACAGTAACTTACAGCATTTACCGTACCTCTGATAGTATTGATTCAAAATGGCGAATATTCGTTGGTTGATAGATATAAAGTATACAGTACTAACGTACTTCTAGAAGCTCTGCACTGCTCAGATTTGGCTTTAAATTTGCAAAATTGAAAAGGACTGATCTAGGTGTCAACTCATCCCTCCCAATTTTTTATAGTAACCGAATTTTATGATGTAAACTATTTTACTTCTTGCAACAAGCCTAGCGCCTTTACGTATGGTCTTTAATACGTCGCCTGTAAATTTGTAAAGTTGTTTCCTACCCCAAAATGTACGAACAAATTCAGATTTTCTGTAGTGAAAATAACGAATAAATACTCGTTAAGTTTCGTGTTGGGATATAGGTACGCTATTTTCGGAGAGCAATTTTAGAAAATTCTTTACAGACTTGGACTGAGTCTATACGCAGAAATATAAAAAAGTACCTAGACCTCTAGCGACCCCATCTTCATGCGCCTTATGTAGTAAAAGGAGAGAGCCCCTAACCTGCATCTTGATGGAAGCGAAGGAAGATCATGCGAAAAAGGTTTGAAAAAAGGCTTGAACACTTTGAAAGGATAAATATTCTTTATCATAAAGCTTTCTCACTAATTAGTCCAGGAAACGATGCGGTTTTGACCTGGCAACTTTTTCAAAATTAACTAGAAATTTTGACAGTAGATAGAATAGAATAAGGATCAAAATCTATGTTATACCGCGGACGCTTTTACCTTAAGGGTGGTTGCTACCCCATATCGGGTTTGACAATTTTTTATTAGAATTTGACCGCAGGAATAAATAGATAGAAAAATTAATTCTAAGCAAAAAAGTGATCTAAGTATACATTTTTTTTTAAATTAATGCTTTTCGAATTATTCGCGACCGAAGGTATCAGTTTTTCATAGAAGAGATCCTTGTTTAAAAAACTCTAAAACTATGCATCTTAGAAAAAGAACTGTGTAGAAGAAAATTTTCACAAACAAACAAAATAGAACCTTGTTAAATGTTAGCTCTTGTTCGTCAAACGATAAGTTAGAAAGTTTCAAAATCAGATAACGAGAAAACTATATATTTTTTTAGAAAAACTACAATATTTTTCACAAAATCTTCTTTATTTAAAAAGAACATCAAAATTAAGCGTGTTCTAGAAGTTGGACTAGTTAAGAATATTTAATTTTGAAATAATTGGATATATAAAAGTGAAAAAAGAATTTCTACAATTTTGTGAAAAAATGGCAACTGAAAAAATACTATATTATCAAATTGTAGCGACAAAAATTAAGAGACTTTTAAAATTAAATTTATATTTATATGAGAGCACTACTTTATTTCAGCCCTTTAATCTCGCCCTCTTTTAAAAAGGATTTAATGTAAATTGACTTGTAGCTCTTGTAAGACAAAATGGTATTTTAATGAATTTTCTCTCATTAAAAAAGGACTTGACTTATTGTGAATGATGCGGCGAAAATGGTGACAAGTCTTGAAGAAGATGAGGAAGAGGACAGTCATGACGTTGATGAAATGAATGAAGAATTTTAAAATATTAAAATGATTGAATTATAAATATTTCTATAAATTTTTGTATCTATGTATTTTTCCATATGTATCTAATAAGTAATTTTTAACAATTGCAGTGTCATAAGGGTTGCTTTTTAAGGGTTAAAAATACGACATTTTGTTGATTAAAACGCTATAATATATTAATTTTGTAAGAGTAAGTGAGTAAATCGATCAAATCACAATCGGGGTTGATTGCTAAGACCTGAAATATTCTGAAATCATGCTCCAAATCATCTAACAATCATTACTCAACTCATCTGAACCAAATTTTGCATACACTGTGTCCAAGATAAGGATGTATATCATGGGGATTTCGGAAACCATAGAAGATGATCAAATTATTCCGATTACTTCCAAAGATGTGCCAGAAAAACCGAAATTTGCCGATTTCGTTTTCTATTTTTTTCTGATCTTATTTGAACAGATACAAAAAAAATAAAAAACACTTTTTCGTTGCTTCTTTTTGAGAGTTTTGAGGGATTTTCAATACAACGTTTCGTTTCGGAAAAATCATCATCAACTGTATTTTTTTATATGTAAAAAAAGTACATACTGTATTCAGTAGCAATTTTTATTAGAAATACAGCGATGTACGCCACACAAAAGAAACAGAAGTTGCAAACCACTGGGGTCGTATAGCTATAGCGCGTCCATTCCAATCACTTTTTTTTCTGTTATGTCTCCCCTATTCGCGATAGACATCTTCATTTCTAACTGTATATTTGACCACTTTATTCTCAAAACACATCTCCATAACCACATCTCCAGCCTTTCTGGCTTTCTATCATTTTCTTTTCCTTCACTAGCCTTTTCTTCAACTCCAGCTTCATTTTACTACAAGTAGGTAATATCTGTTTCTACCTAAATGCCTCTTTAGCCATCCCCACTATTTGCAATACTTTTCCATTCCTCCGTTTCTGTGGTTCCAACATAATTGTATCTGTTCACCCGCTCACTCCTTGAACATTTAACGATTCCATTTCTCCGATCTTCATCACATTTGATTTCTTTTTATTAATTTTAAACAATATGCCTCCTCTTGTAGTATATTGTGTTCCATCATTCTAGCGAGTTCATGGACATTGTTTGCCAAAAGTATCATATCACGTTCTGTTTCTACCTCCTACTTTAGAAAACAGAATTGCCCTTCGGATCCCGCTCAAAACAATTGACCATCTGGAAGAGGAAGTGTACAACTTCACTACTACAAGTTAATAAAGATTCGAAATAAAATTGCCGAAAAACGCAAAATAATATTCTCTGTGGAAGTTACGAAAAATTGGCCAGAAGGTAAAGGAACACGAAGGAAAATCACAAAATTTAGTTCCCGAGTATTAACGTCATGTGCGTTACTGTGTTTCCAACGACTTAAGCCAATAAATGAGTATTTTCTACTAACCAATTACCCAAACGTGTTCAAAAATTGTTCTTCTGCAACAATTTTTGTATCAATGCAAATAATTGTGCTGCTTTCCCTACGAAGTTGGTCAAAAATTGACCAGAAATTATATTAAGGCCACAAGCTTCGGCGTGTTTCCAAAGAACGTGACCAATAAATGAAGATTTTCTACTAAGAAGTTGCCCAAAAAGTGCTCAAAAATTATTCTTGTGCATTAAGCCATTGCAATGAATTTTTATGCTTTCGCGATGAATTACCTAGTGAATTACTTTAGTAAATGCATCAGAAAATGAAAGATTACGAAGGAAGATAAAAAAATTCAGTTCTTGTATATATGCCATATATGTTTTTCCGTGTTTCCAACGACCTTGGCCAATAAATAAATATTTTCTACTAAGAAATTACCCAAAAAGTGTTCAAAAGTGATTCTCGCGCATCAAGTCAGGTATGAATTCAAAGATTTTGATGATTTCTCGATGAAGTTAGTCAACAAATTAATCAAAAACTTAGTGTTTAATCATTTACCCGAAAATTTTACTCAATACATAACATT